CCCCCCGCTCGGCCCCCAAACGGCGGCGACCGCCCTTTGGCCATCGCCATTCGGCCGCCAGCCCGAGGCCGCCGCCGGCGCTTTCAGGCCACAGGGCCCTCCCGATGCTCCGCCCCGTCCTGTGCATGCCTCTCACCCGTGCAGGGGCAGGCCGGGCCGAACTGGGTCTTGGTGCCTGGCCGGTGGAGTTCGTCGGCCGGTGGAGCTGGCCGCGCGGGTGTCGCTGCATGAGGTTATAGTATGCAGAGGCTGGTTCCTCTGGCAAGACCTTTACCCTCTCTGTGCTGGCCTGCTTACTTCTTTCAGAGTCCAAACTAGATGTTTGCTCATATCTACATATCAAGTTTTCCTTAACATGTTGCAGAAGTGCAATTATTACAAGGAAGACAACACATCAGTAGGGAAGGCTTCTCTCTTCCCTTCCCAATCTCACTGAAAGCAAAAGAATCCAACTTTGCTTGGCTAAATCACTTTTGGGACAATTTATCCTTAATACCATAAAGAAGTTTTTTCCTAAGTGTTCTGCTTCCATAGAGGACAATTTTGGTACTCCTCATGCTGGAGAATAAAGAGATAAACCTCTTATCCCCCATGCTTTGTATTTCCAGTAAAAAGCATTTGCCTGCTATTTGTTAATAAGGTATATACTGCTTGCCACATACCAAGTAAACATTTTGTTTGCCCCTACACTTGCATATTCCAGCTCTGTTCTTTACATGTATATGCAATGTAAATATGCAGTGCAAAAAGTAACTCAAGAAACCTCTGCACATAAACATCTTATCAGTCCATTTAAAATCAAATGGGTAAAATAGCCCCAATGCGACAATATTGATACTACTTATTTGGTACTATAGGAGCTCCTTGGTGTCGAAATGCAGCCATATTTATTAAAACTGCTTTTCAATACATGCCTGAAATTGAAATTGGTGAAGAGGTTTATTGCAATGAAAACACTTGTGATAATGTTCATTTATTGGTATCTAATTTAATTTTATGATATCAGATTCAGATTAACTCTGGGTGCAAATTGAATTATTTTCATTGCTTACCATTTCTGCTATAGCCTGCAGAGTGGGAATTAAAGCACTGCACTTGAATGAAGCTTCAAAGCAAGGACCTGTCTATATATTTGAAGTGAATGAGTAAGTATTTGGTTTATCTATCTAAGCATGAAGCATATTTTATGCCATGCTAGCCAATATCATGCCATGAAGTGTTTATAAAGCATTTCTTCGTTAGAGTATCAGTATTTGTTAGCATATGTTTGTAGCATTAAGCTGGTTATATCTGTAAGCCTTCTTTTATCTTTTGCTGCTGCCTTTATTTATATACAGACTTTACAGTATTTCTTGGGGGTTTTCCAGGAGTCTTAATTGTCACTCGAGGCTCAGGTGACCTCTATGATGCAGTGTCTTCAGCTGCTCTCCCAGCTATGTGCTTCTCTGGGCAGGTATAACTATAACCTATATAGTCCATGCTCCGGACTTATCTCCGAGTTAGAATATTGTAATGTGCCCTGTGTGGGGTCACCATTGAAGACATGAGCATGTTTCTCCCTCTCCTTTCTTTTCAAGCAGATCAAAATGAAAAGCTTATAAACAGTCCCTTTTATTGAAACTTAACAGGTTTTGCTGTGTTACAAGGCATGTTCTATGAGTGCTGTTAACAAGTTGCATAAATCAAAGTCACGATCTCTCTGCTCTGTCAGAATGGCTTCTGCCATGTGAAGTGTTGATCCCAAAATTAAATGTCCTTTTCCTCTCTGCCTAATCCAAGAAGCTTGACTCCATGCTCAGGATGGTTCCCGCTGCTTGTGGGCCAAATGGAGGAATGTCTGATGCTGCATAATTGGTCCACCCATTTGACTTAGCACTGCCTCACTGTTTCTAGGAATTCTCATTTCTCCATGCCCCACCTGTTCAACAGTGTCTCACCCCCATGCCCAAGATGATTTGGGCATCAGTCACTGCCTGACTAATCTCACCTGTTCACCTTTACTTTGCAGAATCACCTGCTTACACTTTCTCTCCTTCTACCCCATTTAACTAACATTCTGAAACTGAACTATCTGTCCAGGAATGCTTTATTGTAAGAAAGCAAGACTCCATCTCCAGATAGGTTCAGAAGCTACAGCTTGTTTAATATTCATATACATAGCAGACACAAGAAGGCCTGCACGTATAATGCCTATCCTGACCCAACTGCAGTCTCTCTCTGCATGTTTCTAATTCCATTTCCAACTGCTGTTTTTGGCTTATAAAGCCTTACATGGTTTAGGACTACAGTACCTGGTGGAGTGCCTCTCCCAATATGAACCTTTTTTGATGGTAAGCTGCCCAGAAAACATTTTGTTACTGATTGGTGTATAACTCCAGCAAAGAGTATTTATTTTTTTTTAGGTTCTATTCTGAATTCTGAACATCAGTATATGTTTTGTTCCTTTTTAACATTTATTTTAAGAATATTCCTGCTGAATCCCAGTGAACCTGAAATAAGGCGAGAACTCTCTTTGATTAACAAGGAAGATGGTGGACCAGAAAATCTGATAGAATATATAATTAAAGTATACACAGGTGACAAAAGAGGTGCAGGGACTGATGCCAATGTCCATATCATTTTGTTTGGAGACAAGGATACGTCACAGTTAATTCAGCTCAAGACTTCACTGGATCATCAAGATCCCTTTGAAAGAGGAAGGGTTAGTATGTCAGTGTCTATGTTATCTTTGTGACTCAGGGTCATTCCACACATTACATTTTGTCAGTGTGCTTGTGTAAACAAGAAAACAACACATCTGGAAGCATGCATCCTACAGGGGCCCACTCAGTCACAACTTTCAGCAATCCCCTATTGCACCTCTATTGCACACCCCAAGTTAAATCTGAATTTGCTATCACATGTGGAGAGATACATAAAATGATCAAAACATGACCTTGTACACTATGAATTTGCAAAAAGTAGGGCCTGCCCCAAACTTTTAGCTTTATATATCCATACTGCAGATGACAGCACTGAAATTTTAGGAATATGAAAGAGGAAGGAAGTACCCTATCTGTTAACTCTGTTTTACATACTTATGATAAAACTTCATCATTCTCTTTAGGGCATCTTCCACATAAGGAAGATGAAAAAAGCTTTTTCTGTGGAAAAAGCCAAGTAGAAGGTTATTGTTCCTCTTGGAAAAATACTAACACTACAGATAATATGCTTTTGCCACCAAGAATACTGGAAATGAAACAATATTTTGAACCAAATTGTAGACTACTTGAGAGTTTTGACAGTAATTAAAGTCAAGTCACTTATCTTTATGTCTTCTAAAGCAGGTTTGTGTATCATAAACAAAAGATGAATTAACAATGAAAACAAAGATACCATTTCCTCATATGACTGGAGAGTCATAAACATTTAGAAAAAAAGTCTCTTGGTGCTGAGGCCAATAAAATAACAAAAATCTTTCAAACATAACTTTACCAAAAACAGCCATTAACAATAAGTCACATTTCAAGTCATCCATTTAATTGTTTTTCTGCACAGCTAAATTTAAGCCTCTCTCCAAACTGAGCCAGTAAAGCACACAATTTTCCAGACCTAAATGTATTATATATTGAAACATCTGTCTCTTTTCATTTTAAAGACTGACACATTCGAAGTTAGGACAAAGAATATTGGAAGACTGCAGAAAATTGAAATTGGACATGATGGCAAAGGATTTGGTGAGTGTGGCTGTGTGTGTATCACATGTCTTTGTTGCACCTTGTATGTATGTGCAGACACAAAACACTGAACGTTCTGAAGTCCTGACAATCGTGCAGATTTGGGGTCCAGTGCAGTGTAGTGGTTCATATGGGGCCAGTATCAAGGGCAGGCATGGTTGGACACTTGTTTAAGGCCCATGCTGTAGCAGGAGACCACTGAGAAGAGCCCCCCCCACACACACATACACAGAGTTGCTCCTCCTCTCCATGTCTGTAACTTGCTTGTTCAGCTGCCTCACTGGTCCAGCAATGATGGTGAAGTGGAGAAGGAGCAGCTGTTTCCAGCCCATCTGTTAAGCAAGCAAGTGATACTTGTAACGAGACAGTGGCAGCTGGTGGCAGCAGTGATAAAAGGGAAACACACTGAGGAAAGTAACCCATCAGGGATGCTTTGCCCAACAGTTCTCAAATATGTGAAGCCAGCACGGGGTCAAAGTGTGGGTTTAGAACCGTGTTCAAATCACCATATGTCTTTGAGCCCAGCATACCTCAAAGTTGTGAGAACAAACGGGTGAGCAACATGTACGCTACTCTGCATATATGCAATCATTAAAAAAAGCAACAACAGTGACAGTCTTGGTATCATGCAAATATTATTATGTTGCAGTTTCTGTTGCTTTGTTTATTTTAATTATATTTAGATGCTGCTCCATATCCCAAAGTCCTACAATTGTAGCATTTTCCAGCATTTCTTTGTGGGGTGCTGCAGTTGTAAGAGTAATTTTTGTGTGTGTGGGGGGGGGGGGAGGTGTAAGCATGCATAGATTGTGCCTTTGATCTCTTTCTTAACATGCCAGCTTGCAGGGAGATGTGGATATGGGAATGCAACCAAGCCAGCATCTCCACATGTACACTGAGGTGATGCAGCCATTTAGAGGACTATATTATCTGGCCCCCAACTCTAAGCATTTGCAACTTCATATCTTCCTGAAACATTAATGTCAGAGCTAGGGTGATGCTGTGAGTTTGACATTTTGCTGCCTGAACAGCAGGAACTGGCTATACAAAACATGAATTTGCTATCACAACAAAGAGTGTGTCAGAACTTACATCTAAGTGCTAGTACTGTAGAATGTGTTGTCTGATTTATATGACAGACAAAAGCCTGGTAAAAGGTAAAAAATTGTTTAACACAGTCCTGAGTAAGGAAACTTCATCTCATTGGGGCATAAGCAAAGTATTGAAAAAATATATACTTTAATGTTTACAAATCATTAAATGGCACCAGTCAAGAAGTTATTTCTTTGTTTACGAAGGATATTGTGTCTCTTGTATTGTTTTCACAAACACTGTACATTAAAATTAATTAGACACACAATCCTTTAGCCTTCTGAACGTGTCTGGGGAGGGAGGGAGGATAATTTGGAGCCCCAATTGCTTCTACAAGGTTTGAAATGGGCATCAGAGAGGAGGGAAGGGAGCATGCGGGGGGTGGCAGGGAAGAGGGGAGCAATGCAATGTTCCAAGCAGTTTTCAAGTCTCCTCTCTCTCCCTCTACTGGGCACCTTCTAGAGGTCTGAAAACGGCCATCTAAATATAGTATAAAATGAGTAGTGCTGGAAATTGCAGCAGTCACTCCTCACACTGTGCAATGGATGCACACAAGTGTTTGAGTTTAGAGAAGCAGAAGCACTGGATTATGCCCTTAATTGAATACAATTGTGTTATTAGATAACATTAAATTAGGGAAGGAAATGAAGCTGGATTTCCCCATGTTGCTGCATTCTTTTGCGTCTTACTCTAGGCAGTTTGAGCAAAAATAGAAGTAAAGTTTTCTCCATAACTGTCAGAAAATATTCAGAGTGAACTTGAGGACACTATCATTTTGACATGTACCAGTACATTTCAAGAGCCACTACCTTTCTTGACCCAGTTTCATCATTTAGCAGTGAATGTTAGTGCTTACTAGGACAGAGTGAGAAATCATCTCAAACTGGGAAGAAATGGATTGCTTTTCAGACATGTTATCATGATTTATCTGACACTATTGCAGATATAATAATGGACATATTTATTTCAAGAAATCAGTGTCAATAAATAGTAATTACTGTCAATTATTGTATTTATTTTTGGAAAACTTTTGCTGTGCACATATCACTTGAAATGGCAGAGCATATTTATAGTTGGATGTCAGCTTGCTCCTTGGAGTATAGTGTTGGTGAGCACCGAAAGACACATTTACTCTCTCTCTCTCTCACAAACACACACACACACACACACATTTCCCTAGCTTTTTGTTTCAAAGGATAGATTAGTGCAAAGGTCTGTTCACCAATATGCTGCTAGCCTGTTGTTTGAAGTGGCAGGCGTGTATGTACATTAATCCACAATCACATTAGTGAAAAATAAGCACCCCACTGTTCCATTTCATATAGCACCATGGTCTGCCAGCCTGAAAACAGGTCTACAAGATTGGTCCAAGATATTTTGCAATGAAAGAAAGCTGTTGTGCCCTCCCATGTAGTTCATGAAAGTGTAAGATTCAAGATGTGCTGACAGTGGAACCCCATCTTCCACTGAGCCTCAAGGTGGGCTGATTTAGACAGCACAGGAGAGGTCACCTGGCACACTGAGCTTTGTCCTCCAGCTGTTCTCTACTGATCACCTCTTCCCAGCTTCTACTGCCTGAGGTGGCCACATCACTCTGCCTAATGGTATGGCACCCTCTTCAGATCTACTACTGAGTAAAGCACCCTAATCCAACCTTCCCCAACATGGTATCTTCCCAATATTTTGGACTAAGTATTCCTGTTCCTAACTATTGGCCATACTGGCTGAAGCTGATGGGAGTTGAAGTCCAAAATTTCTGGGGGTTGGAAAAGGCTGCCCCTTCCTGACATTTTTTTCCCCTCACTGTGTCTGTGCCGTGGTAAACACCAGCCCTCTTTCAGCAGATTATGAAGGCTGGTTAAATTGGATATTTCCTTGGTGGGTGTTGGTCAAGAAGGATCATGTCATTGTGTGTGTGTGTGTGTGTGTGCATACACACACGCACATGCACACCTGGCATTTTGAAGTTAGAATGTGCTGACACTACTGCCCATCTAAACATCAAAAACAAAAACAAAAAAACAAAAAAACTTACAATTCTTTATATTTACTGAGTTTCTCCATTTATTTTAATGTATATTTTCTAACTTTTTAATTCAAATGTTCTGCATAATTTTAATGATGGGAAAATAAAATTAATAGATTAGGATTCTCTATACTCAAAGGAATACTCTTTGCTCTTGTCCTTTCTTTGTTACAGGAAGTGGCTGGTTTCTGGAAAAAGTAGAAATCACAGATGTGTTTGCAAAAGAACAGTACTGCTTCAGTTGCAACCGGTTTGTTAAACTTTTTAGATTAGATGTTCTTAATAAATCTTACTTATATTGTTATAATTTGAAACAAAAATATTATCTGTATACTAATACTTCTCAGACCAGGGAATATGAATGAAAACACATGCACATTGTTTAGGGAAAAACAATAGTTAGTTGATGATACTCGTGATATTCAACTTACCATGTTGAAAGAGAGGAGCACTCCAACCCTATCTCCTCTGTGGTCACATCTGTTTCCCTGTACATGTGTAGGGCAATGATACAAAGAGGAGCACCTCCTGTATTAATGCACCCTGAAAAACTAAGGTTCTTAATCACATGAAGCATTTTTGGAGATATAGTAAGCATCCCTCTTCTGCTCATCTCCCTACATGTGTAAAGGGTAACAGAAGCAACAAGAATGGAAAGTGGAGCTGAGGTTCTCTTCATTTCACATGCTCTTTCCACCTAGTAAACAGAATGCTTGAAGAGGCCTACTATCTTCTACTTCCCAGAGGAAAACAGTGCCAAAGAAAACAGAAGAACCAGCATGCCTAAGCTGGTTATAAGAAAACAGGGATATGCCTCATGGCCCCCATTCAGCTCAAATGAAGACCCATGGCAATCTCTGTCTCATGGACAAGAAGGGTCAGGTCAGCCTGGCTTAGTTAAGCACACAGGGAAACTAGTATGAAAACTGAATTATTTCCTTTTAGTCTTAATATACAGACCCAGGAGACAGAAACATAACTCTATTTGGCATGGACATTGCATCAGTAGACCTTGCTAGAACTTGTGCAGTTGTCTTTTATTTTGCCACACACAAAGACAAAACACAACAGCTGTAACAACTGCCTTCATCTTCTTTGGGAGGCTTGCCATGCCTCTGACAATCATAGGCTGTAGGAAATGGGGTTATTCCATCAATAGATCAAAATTTCCCTTTCTTCTCTATCCTCTGAATCTGGTTAAGGGGAGATTCTCCAGAGCAGATCTGAGAGGTTTACAGTGAGCTAATAGTGGGGAGTAGGGGAAGGGAAACTACTTGTGCAAACCAGTTCCCTCAAGTTCTTTGGATTTAGCCCATGGATGAAGAGTGATTTTACAAATGCAGGATAAGAGGTGAGTTTGGGAATATATGAAGTCACATTAGTGAAGTAAAGCAGAAACAAAACCTTAAGTGTCACAAAGCAGAGATGATACTCAAACCCCAGTGAATTTATATGAAAGAAATATTGCTTTCTCTCTCTATTGTTTCTTTTTGCTTGTTTGTTTGTTGAATGTTTTTGAAAGATTGGAAGTGTGTACTTCTCACTTTGCGCTTTTCTCATTGCATATTTTCAAAGTTCTCCTTGAAATCATTTTTGGGATCAGCTCTGTTTAGTGGGTAGTCCTGACTACATTCAGCAGTTCTGTCTACTTCAACACTCTCCCCCACTTTGGACTTTCCAAATAGTAAATGTCAGATACAGGTGATTTAAAACTGTGGTTGCCCACTGTCAGTGTAAGGCCTCCCAGGTCTGTCTTTATGCTCTTTTGTATATTTGTGAATACATGAGTGTGTGTCTATAGAGTGACTTCTCTTTCAAGAAAAAATATGTTTTCTTCATCAGGTGGCTGGCAAAAGATGACAATGATGGACGCACAGTAGTTCAGCTTTTCATGTAATTATGCCTTCTGAGAGTCCTATTTGAACATGCTCTCCCTTCGACTTCAAACTAGTCTGGTTTATTTGTATATCCTAATTGTGAAAAAACTGTAATTATCATACAGAAACAAAAAAATACTACAGCATACTATAATATCCAGTAGTAAGATTGTTATTGGGAAATTTTGAGTACCTTTATGTCATAGAATAAAATGGGTTTGTTGTCACAATATGACTTTGTGTCATCCAACTTTTACAAAATTTGAAATTTGTAGCATTTTTAGAAAGAGGAAATGGGATAGGGGGGAGAGTGAGAGAGGGAGATGATTCTAACAATCCTCCTGAAGAGTTGAGATTAGGTTCTAATGCTATAATGGAGGAAGAAGCATGTCCCCTATCTACTTTTTCCACACCATGTATGATTTTGTGCATATCGATCATTCCCCTTACCCCCACAATTACATACTGCTACACTAAATGAGAGAGACAGCAAAGGTTAAAACAATACTTGGAGTAAAAAATAAAAAGGGAAATAAAGACTTTCTGGTCACCCCCATGTGCATGACTTCTTTCAGTTTTAGTCTGCCTCATATTTTGAGTTATATTTCCCTTCCATCTATGACATTTGCATACATTTCCCCATAAAGTAAACATGCACGAGTGTTCCAGAGAGTTAACCGCTTGCCCCAACAGCAACAGCAACCCTTAGTGGTGGCAGAATAGGATCAAGCAAATGAGAAACACCATCAGCAGGACTTAACATATGCTCCCATTGTGACCCCATTCAGCTGGGAAGTTTGTTTAGAATGGTTAAAGAACTAAAACAACTGAAGTGGGAGTGCTCTGAAAAGGAACCACAAAAAGGGATGGAAGTCGATTTCTTCCCTTTCTCCAGAATCTGGAGACCTGGGAAGTAGCAACATGTAGAGGATGCTGAAAACTCTCAGTTCGACACTTGAAATCAAGAGGATTTGCATTCTTCAGGGGAAGAGTTTATCATCACCCCCAGTCAAAGCATCTATGGTTCTACCCTTTACTGGAAATCCAATTAACGTCTCAGCAACTGAGCACAAATCAGCCTATAGGCAGCCTCTCCTTTGTGGACCACTATCTACTGCTCTTCACCACTCCCTTTGACAACTGAAACAGATAAGGGCATTGATCAGGCAAGGTGCAGAGAGCCACACATGAGGACATATGAAAGACTGGAAAAAATGAACACAATACAAAATGTTCTGGAGTCAATTAAAAAATGCAGTCCCAGTTGCACAATTCTGAGCTTCTGAAAAACAACAGCAGCAGCAATGAGTGATAAGGGGTGGTGACTGGAGCAGAGAGAATAGGATTCCAGCAGAAGAACAAGGAGAGGAAGAACAACTTACCATTCACAGGCTGGTTTAACATGCCCTGCAGACAAGAACAATATCTTTTGACTGAGTGGGGGGAACAGGGTTAATGTAGTTCTAAAGGTTCTATTTCTGCTTGCATGCTTGGGTACAAACAGAAATTAATTTAAAATTGTATCCCCAGAATGCACAGATGAGTTCGGTTGGTATCAATATTCACTACAGAATCATTTTGCTGTGATCTATTATGTGATTTGTTTCATTTAGTGTGTCTTTCATTAATAGTTTGTAGTATTAATTCATCCTGATGATGTCATTTCTAGTTTATCAAGTGTAAATAATGCCTTCTTAATTTGTTTGCCTCTCCTAACACTGAATAGTGTATTGTCACAGCTTATTTGCTTATTTTGTTCCACTTGTGCTATTTAAAATAAGAAACCAAGTTCATTTCCATGAGGAATTCTGAGTGCAGTTTTGAATGACTGTACTGAAAGTTGCACAAAAGAAGTAGGCATTTGTAAAGCCCACAGGAGGAATTCCATCAACAGTTTCATTTTGCTGGCCTCAAGCAGTGAGCTTTCATAGAAAACCAGTTAACTGATATCTATTTTGATACATACTTCCATTTTGTTTTCTCAATTGTTCATTTTAATTCAGAGCCAATTTATGCACAGCAGCAATTGTTTGGTGGATGCTTTAAATTGCTCCTCATGGCAGTTCTCATCATATGTTGAGCTCTTTGTGAAGAAATGCTCACCACACAAAGTGGATAATTCTCTCTGAGTTATCTCAGGCTTGTTGTCACATGCATATATACTTGTGCAGATAAAATTGTCCTAATTGTTTGGTGAAGAATTCCACTGAACGGTTTAATATGTGACAATGGCCAGCACACTCAGTGATTTAAATCTGCCCCCTGTGTCATGGCCATAATCTGCAAGTTGGTCTATACATCAAAGATGCCATCATGCATATGATTTGCTCATCGTCCATCTGCTGTATGTTCTTCTGAATGTAATCTTTATTATAGATATGGAACAGTTAGTTCACAACAGTTAAGAGGATTCAGAATTTCCAAAACCACAATTTTAGATTAAATTTCATTTGTATCAGTGTTGGTATTAACTTTAACATTAAATTTATCGATTCCAGCCCATTGGTTGAACCAGATATTGTTAGAGCGCTTTTGTATCTATTCACAGGCGGAGGCAAACAGACCAGCCCTGCTTCTATCACACCACACTAGGTTCAATGTCACTACCTCCTGGCAAACTTCTTGTGTCATGCAGCACATTTGTTGTGAGAAAATGTATTTGCAATCAAACAAGCAACTCTACCTAAGTCCTAAATGAAACTATCTTCATTAGACAGCATCATGATTCCTTTCAGTCTTGCTAATTTGTGCAGGCTTTGAAGGCAGTTTGAAATTTCTGAATTTCTGAAACTGGAGCTTAGAACTGCATATGTAAATGAATGTTTCCTTATACATTTATTATGGATGTTGTAATATTTTGTTAAACAGGTGCTTCTGTTTATTGAATCTTGTATATAGTATGTACTCTCCACAGATACTAAACCTATGTATAGCGATCTAGGTTCCTATATACTGAATTTTTCTATCGCACCTCTCTTGTTTAATCAGCATATGTAAAATGAATATGTTACATCAGTTTAAATGAAAGAATGTGTGAATAAATTGTGGGTTCAATATAAAACAGCTTTACTTGGAAGTAAACTCATTTGACATTAATGGGACTTCCAGATAAATTTGTTTCAGCTTTCAATTAGTTGTTAATTTCATCAGAGATGAGAGAAATGAAAAGTCCTGTCATTGCTAAAATGCCAGCTAGCTGATCATGGTACAAATGTCTTTTTGGTTTGCTCAAGTATGAGAGAGGAAAATAGCAGATTTCCTGTTCTTCAGCCAGTTTCTATAGAGACAGTAGGTTTTTTAAAATGTTTATTTCTAGCCATAAATAACTTTAGACAATGCTAAAGTATAAAAATGGTACTTAGCTACTGCTTCCAGGGGACATTATTTTTGAGCTGCTGATCTGGTAAAACAAGAATTCATCAAGCAATCAAGTAATCTTTTAGAGAAGTAACACCAACAAAAGCAGTGTGCGCTCACTATAAAACCATCACAACTCTGTTCTACACTTGGCAGTTTGTAACAACGTATTTCATGGAACAGAGTGGTTTCTTCTATCCTTTGGCAAATGTTTTAATAGATTTTGTATTGTATTAAATTGAATTTAATTATATGTTGATAGTTCTTTGGGTAGAGACAATACTAAGAGGAGAAAGAGATAAAGGGATTCTTTGGCATCAACTCCTGAAACAAAGCCAATTATTGCAGGAAATCATAGTGCAAATTAGGTACATAAAAGTTGTATATTCACATTGTGCCATTGTGAACAAAATATACAAATATACAGATATGAACCTGCTTGGTGACTCAAATGAATAAAAGATAGAGGTTCTTGTTCTGAGCATCCCAATTGTTCAGATCATAAATGTGTTTGAAATATTACATGGGAACATATAACATGTACTTTCACTGTTATCCTGGCTGTAAGACACCAAAGGCTAATTAAATATTCCATTACAGTTGAATAATTCTTTTAACTTTAAGTAGAAGCCACTGGAAAGTTATCAGGAGTGGGGTCATAGTGTTAGGAATGGTTTTAAAAATTCTTTCTCTCTGTAAACCACCTGAAAATCTCCTTGTTAACCTAGAAGATAAGCTGCCATTACTCTCAATGACAGATTATCTTCTGAGTAAAAGAGTGTATGTGTGAGTAAGTGTGTGTGTGTGTGTGTGTGTGTGTGTGTGTGTGTGTG